ACAATCTTCTAAAAAAATTAAATGTAAATATAGATAGCACACATACCGAACATGCATAATCACAAATATATCTTTGTGAATCATTATAAAGCAAACACCAGGTGTAAGCAACAGGATATTGCCAACACCCAGAAGCCCCCCCCAGCACCCTTTTCCAAATACATCCCCCACTTGCCCAAAAGGTAACTATTATCATGGTATTTATGGTATTCATTTCCTTGCTGGGCTTTATAACTTTGTGCCTGGGTATGCACCCCTAATACCTTAAATGTATAGGAATGTAAGTATCCATTTTTAAATGTATAAAAATACAGAAATATAATCATTATATTCTTTGAGGTTTATCTTTTATATTTCATTCAAAACTTTTGTGAGATTCAACTATGATGGCCTATATAGCTGAAGTTCATTGATTTTCATTTCTAGTCAGTATTCCTTTATATAAATATTTATTCATAAATGAGTGATCATTAGGTGATCACTTGACTTTCTTCTAATATTGACTATTGTAAGTAACACTGCTAACTGTAGGCATCTTCTGCTGCATATGAGCACACTGTTCTCTAAAATACACACACATAAACAGATACTCCTAACTATGATATTACTGGGACATAGGATATGTGTAGATTAAATTTAATAGTTAATACCAAACCTTGGGCAAACTAACTGTGTCATTTCACATTCCCACCTTCAATGTATGAGAGTCCCTGTTGCTATATACCTTCATCATGCTTTGTACTGACAATTATTTAAATTTTAGTCTTTCTGGTTGGTGTGTAATGGTACTCAGGTGTGGATTTTATTTGCATTTTCCTGATAACTAAAGAAATCTTTTCATATATTCCCTGACCCTATGGATATATTCTGTTTTGTAAAGTACTTATTCAAGTCTCTGGCACATTTTACCATTGCATTTTTGGTCTTTTTCTTTTTAATGTATAGGGATTCTTTAGACAATCTGGTTATTCATGGATATGTGTGTGTATGTATTTGCAAAAATCTATATGTATGTACGTGTGTGTACTTATCAAATATCTCCTCTTACCCTGTAATTTGTCCTCCACCCTTCTTAGGGGTATCTTGATAAACAGAAGTTCTTAGTTTTAATATTAGCAAATTTGCTCATATTGCCTTTATCAGTACTGTTGGATCTTTGGTTTAAATATGCATTTTTCTTTACTCTAGGGCATGAAGGCATTCCACTTTCTATTCTGAGAGTATTAAGGTTTCATCTTTCACATTCAGATCTACAATGCACCTGACACATGGCTTTCGTGAAAGGTTTGGGTCAAGCTTTATCAAATGAGAAAACGGGGGCAGGCGGGTGTAGTCAGGAAGTGAGTGACTTGGCCAATGTTATACGGCTGATAAATGACAGTATTAACTTCAAAAAATATTCTAAGTGAGCCATCAAGTCTAAAGTTAATTTAATTTTCATCAGCCAGATAGAAATTACACATTTTATTTTCTCCAAGGTATGTTAGTTTAAAATGAAAATAGAGACAATCATACCATATGTTAGTGAAAATACATACTCAATACTTTTAAAAGATATGGACAATCATACCAAATGGATATGGAGAAACATACTACATTGTTTTTTCAACATATTGAAAGGGGAGAGGGTTGTATTTAAGAGTGTTATAAATACTATCTTTTTCTTCAGCAGAAATAAGTAATTCAAAAAAAATAAAACATGGATTTATTCAGGATACTGTTTGGAAATGAATATATCTATAATCAAAATTAATATTATGTTTCCAGTTAAATACTGTCTTGTGAAAAACAAGGCAGTTGTTTACTCCAAAAACAAGTTTTGTAGCAATTTTCTAAAGTTAGAGAAGAAATACAATAAATTCACAAAAATTAATATATAATCTTTTGGAATATTTTGTTCATATGCTCACTCACTTTTGATTAAAGTATTCAGACAGAACTTAAAAATTCTTAAGTTCAGGCCTAGAACAAAAATCTTATTTTTGGACTATAAATCTCATCACATCAGATTTTCTTACACAGGAAATGGAGGCACAACATAACTGGCACTTTAAAAGAGTCCAAAGTCAAACCTTTATATTTAATAAATCTAAATGAAGGAAACCCATTCCTCCTAAAATTTACCTTCCTAATTTTATCAAAACAAAAATATACATTTTATATCACCATTTCCCCTGGGCCCTATACCCAATGGAAAATTTCCAACTAAAATCTGTATTTGCACTACTTGCTGGAAATGAGTTGCTATTCCTACCACCTACATACTGAGGAAGTGGCCCAAGGACAAACAGAGCTTCTTACAGCTTGAGAACACAGATAGTTATCTGAACTCTCCAGGCTATTCATGAAACTATGTCATGTGCGTAAACTATGGCTCAGGACAGTCTATGTCCAGGTTACTGTTATGGAAGAATTTCACCCATTTACATATAATAAAAATTCATCATTACCCTTCTCCATGAAAACAATACAAATTTTACATTTATAGATTGTCACTCTGATTTCTCAACCTAACCACTAACTTTGTAGATAGGGTGCCAAACTTCTCACTCAAATGTTGATAAAAGAAGAACTGAGACAGACTGTAATATGAGGCCAAGTTCACTATTACTGGAACTACTCAACTAATTTCTTAAAATTATAAGTTAAGGCCAATTCATTAAATGGTTTATTAACAAAGAAGCTCATAGGTGGCTCTGTTCCCCAGGGCTAGCCCTCAAAGCAAACTAGCAACATTAATAGTTCTGATTTTTTACGATTTGATTTGATTTGGTACAGTTTCATACATTTCCTATTGCTGCAACTTCCAGAAAAAGAGAAAGTACATGAAACTGAGTTTATGTGACTTGATGTAAAAGATGGGAAAAGGACCAGAAAAAACAGTTCCTTGTATTCCTAGCATAAAGGAAATTATTTACAAATTGAATAAATGAACATCTCCAACTCAGTCAGTCTCACTTAAAGTCTGGACTCAGGTGTGTTTTGTTCAACATTCAGAAAACTAATTGTGGTTCTCATTAACTCTACTCTATTACATAATACCAACAGCAGCCCAGGTGTATCGTAAGCTTACAAATCCCTGGTGAAGGTAGCTGCTGCTTCCTCTTCTAATGTTACTAAACGTGCCACCCTACCACAGGACACTTACTAATCTCAGTAGAACACAGAAGATACATGTTTTCCAGAAACAAATGGGGGACAGGACAAAGGGCTGCATTCAGAGCCCAGAAAAGGAAACACACAGTCACCCCCCCTCCTGACCGAAACAAAGCCTAAATCCTTGCTAACTCATTGTGAGTTTATGATCAGAACTATGTGTGACCAATGATTCTGAATAGAATCATTCTCTTCAACAAAAGAATGACTTTTCTCCTCAAAGATAACCCAGAAGTTAAAGTTCCAAACATGGGCTCTTTAAGAGCTAACCCAATAAAAAGGTTAAATTAGGGATAGCTCATCTAAGAAATTCATTAAAACCTCCTTTACTTTTCTTTTTTTCTCTTTATCTTCTTTTTCTACCGCACCCCTAATAAACTTACACTCAAGTTAGTATCTCCAAATTTTAAACCTTTCCTAGGAGGGATTTGAGCCATACCTAACAAAATGACAGACCTCAGGGGACAGATGCCAGAAGAGTCCATGAATTGGGTTGCAGACAACAGCATCCATGCAGGAGGACTTGAACACCGACCCCTGCAGTTCAGAAGTTCTCTCCTTGGCTACTGTCTGCATTCAATGCTATTAGACCTTCCCACAGCAATGGGGATTCCAAGGAGACCCACAACCCAGCCACAGTAGAGCAGACTTTGATAGCGCCCAACAATTTATGAAGTGATGCTGACAAGTCTATAGAAAACCATGAGGGTAGCTACTGCTTCCTCTTCTAATGTTACTAAACATGTTATCTTACCACAGGACACTCACTAATCTCAGTGGAACACAGAAGATGTAAACATATAAACATGTTTATATGTTATATATAAACAGCATTTAGAATAATAAAATGAAGTGCAATAAAACACATTCTTCTGAGGGATATTTTTTAATTGACATAGATTTCCATTACAGGAGGGATACATAATCCATCTTGGGTTGAGGTCAAGGATTAATTATAGAGACAATCTCTCTTTCAGACAATCTTACTTTTGGGTCTTTGAGTGTAAACCTATAATGCTGTCCTCAACTTACTAACCATGCCTGAGACCCTGGGCATATCACAACTACCCAACAGGACACCCTGTTCCCACTCTCCCCCTCCACCACATTCATTCTTCATGCGAAAGCTGGTATGACGACTTCAAAATAATACCACAAAAATAATGAATAAACAAACAAGCAGCCACTATGTCCTCCTTTATTCTTCTTTAAACCTGTCAAATGCATCCCACTGCACTTAAAATAAAATCCCCAATGCCTCACTATGCTGGACAAGCCCAGCACAATCTGGACCCTCCCAGGCTTTCCCCTTACTTGTCACCCTCTTCCCTTGCTCACTAAGTCCCAATTCCACAGACCACCTCCCTATTCCTCCCACACATGAAGCTCACATCAGCCTCCAAGGCTCTGGGCCTGCTATTCTTTCTGTCCCCACATTTTGAAAAAGTTGGTTTATACCCTTTGGGTCTGTACTTCAATGTCCACATGCCACCACCTAAGATGCTACCACTAGAATATGAGGTCTGTGGGGGCAGGAACTTTGTCTGTCCCACTTCCTCCTACACAGCACCTGGCACAGTACCTAGTATGTAGTGTGTACTCTCTACACTTGATGAATAAAAAAAACTGAAAAGAAAATAGAATAAAATCTAAAAGAAACTTTTTCAAAGAAAAATAAAATACTTATTCTTTGAATATATCAAATGGTCCACAGGGATTAACAAGAAGAAAGATTTTTCAAATATCTTCCTTTGGAAGAAATGATTTCCCACATCATGAAGAGTAAGAACATAACTAAAAGGCCAAGCGATTGTTTTTGGTTTAAAGGATCTGAGGATAATCACCTTTGCAAGACCCGCTCGATGGGCTCCTTTAGACTCCATGTATGCAAGATATTTGTTGAACTCCCGGAACTCCTCCATGGAGGGTCTGAAGGTCATGATCTTACAGCTGGGATTCAGAGGACTCTCCACCTCGGCCACCTCCATGATGGCTGGGGTAGTCTCTGCAGAGGAGATCATCATCAGCGCTAGATTAGTGTGGGGTTAAGGTTGATCGTCATTTCTCCTGAATATCATGTAAACTCTCCTAGCAGGAATTCTTCTCTTTTACTTACCATTCCCCTCCACCAACCTATTAGGGAGACTCCCTCATCTCCTGATGGACTCCAGAAAAAAAAAGAAGGAGAAGAAAATTGCCTCTAGTCACTCTTCCTCCCAAGCTCCTATTCCTGGCATTAAATCACTGAGCTAATTGTGTCACTAGCCTCCTCAAAATCCTTCCTAGTAAGAATTAATTTCCTAACTTTGCAAGTTACAAAAGGTGTCATTCCCATGTACCAGTCCTGAAACGGACTTCCTCTACAGCCACCTGTATAAAGGGATAGCCTAAGTGAAATAGAAAATAGACAATGTTCCACATTCCCAGAAGTTTACTCAGACGTGCTTCCACTTGTCATAACATGCTTTCCTACAATAATTTACAAACCATCCATTCAGCAAAAATGCCAGGCACCAGGCTAAAGTACTGGGGACAAGAAAGGGGTAAGGTTTTTTTTCTCTGTCTAGCTCACTGTGTAGAGGCCAAACTTCAGTACAAAACTGTACACAGGAGGAGTAACTAACTCCACTTAAGTTACCCTGAAATGACTTCCCCAGAAAGGAGCAGTAGACTTACAAGAAGGTGTAGGAGTTTGTCAGATGAGAGGAAGATTATTCCAGGCAGTGGAAATATTTGGAGGTACTGCAGGGATGAAGGTAGGAGTTTAGACTGTCTGGAGCTTAGAAAAAGATTATAGGAGATCAAAATAGAAAAGAAGACAGTAGGTTGTGCTACAAAAATATGAACTTAATCTTGCCAACAACGAACAGGATGATTCCTTCAACAAACACGTATTGAACGCCTCATCTGTGCCAGGCTAGAGAATGCAAAGGTGAGTAAGAAGCACTGGTGTGCCTGCCCCAGAAAGGATTCCGACCCATATTCCATTTCCAAATGCAATAATAGTACCTGGCATTCCACAGCTCAAACAAACTGAAAACAAAGCTCTCCTTTTCCTTGTTTTAATAAATTTTATTTGACAGAAAGAAAAATTCAGAAGTGAGGGTTAGATGAAGCAGAAAACATGCTACAGGGTAAGTTGTTAAAACAGATCAGTGCTGCTGATAAAGTTGTGATCGTCATTTAGTCATAACCTTTTAAAGTTTTAAAACAGTGTCTATCTCAGAAAGTATACATGAGGAGATTAAAAACATTAAAATTAAACTCTGCCACTCTTTAGGAATTTACAAAATAAAAGAAAAAATACTCTGCATGGAAATGCATTAAGACACAACAGATAATATTCCTGTCTCCCTGCCTCAGGAGGGGGAATGCAAAAGAAAAGACCTCCAGGCTACCTTACCCACCTCCCTTCTGCCCTCGTACAGATGCACATGCCCAAATCCAGGGGCTCCAAGATGTCTCCACTCCATACAGGACATAATCCTTTAGAAGCCTCGAGATCATGGACTTGTTCACCACGACAGCCTGCATTATACTTCACATTCCAACAATACTCATTGATCCGTCCTTCTCTAAACAAGTACAGCTCTCTATGCCTTCGCCCTCTGCCCAAAGTATTCCCTCTCATTTGAGCAGCCTTTACCTATTTCCTCACCTGGCAAATCCTTGCCCACTGTCAAGATTCCCAACACTCCTGAGCAGGCCAAGGTGAATGGTATACTGTGTTTTGGCCTCCTTTCTGCATTCCTCTTACAGCAGTTCCCTTTCCCCAAGGCTGGCATTTCCACCACACACTGAATTCCAAGCCCCTCAAAAGAAAGGCAGGCTCTTTAAGCACTAACATACTGTCTGGGATCCAGCCTGACTCATAGTATCTGCTGCAATAAGTATTTGCTAACTGAATGATGGAATAAGTGCCAAAATGTTGGAGTATTGACATAAAATGATACCAAATACAGGAAAAAAGAAAACATTTATCTCCAACACAGAAAAAAAGCTGCTCAGAAAACAGATTCAATTGCTTGACTGGTAAAAAATAACAGAATACAAAAACCTGAGAAATGAGAATGGAAAAGGTTATCTGTGTAGAAAGGTTTGGTACATGGAAGACAGCCTTATTTTTTCCCTGGCCAAAGAACAAGAGTGACCTGTGTTATTACCCTAGGCAGAGGAAGAAGCCAGTAGGGAAGAAACTGGAAATCCAGCCAGTCACTCAACAAACAGTTACTGAATGCCTAACTGCCAGACAGGCATTTAGGAAGGAATGAAATGAAACCCTAACAGGAATGGAATGAAGCAGACCATAAATAGTCCTAAGCGCTCTGAAGAAGAAACCAGAGCACGGGGACAGAATACAAAGAAGAATGGTAGCTATTTTATACAGGGTAGATGAGGAAGGCATTTCTGGGCCTGAAGGAAGGAATAAATCATGTGGATTCTGAAAGGAGAGCATTTTAGGCTGAGGCAACAAGAAACCTCTCGGGCTTGTTAAGGAACAGCAAAGATGTTGTGTGTGTCTGGAAGAGAAAGGTGAGTGGGAGACGGGGAGAAAAGGAGGTTGGGTGACTCTGAGAAGGGATGTAATCTTGGCTTCCCCTCCCCATACATTTCCATTCTTTTTTTAGGGGTGCAGTTGGGGGAGGGGAAACTACAACTGTTTTTCTCTTTATATTTTTATTGACAAATAGTTGACATAATATTAATTTCAGTTGTATAACAGTGATGGGACAGCTACATATATAATGAAATGCTCACTATTTGTCAATTGTAGTTAGCATTTGTCACCATATAAAGTTATTACAATATTATTGACTACATTCCCTATGTTGTACTCCTCATCCCGAAGACTTACTAACTTTGTAACTGGAATTTTGTACTTCTTGATCCCCTTTATCTATTTAGCCTATCCCCTATGCTCCTCCCCTATTGATACTCTAACATACATTTCCATTCAAGGAGATGACACTGCTTTCTAAGGTAACTCTGGAGGAGGAATTTAGGCAGAGAAGTGAGCTGGCTCATCATTCTGGCTATTATACCAAAAAAAAGGACAAGGCTGGATGCAGGGAGACAGTTTGCATCAATCTAGGCAAACAAAATGATGACTTAGATCAGTGGTGGGCACTGAGAAGTGGTCAGATTACAGATATAGTCAGAATGGAATTTCCTGATAGAAGCAAGAGAAAGAGAGGAATCAAGGCTTTTGGTCTAAAATACAGGACAGAAAAGTTCTGACAAGAAAATGAAGCAATGAGACTTCTAAAATATGCAGCAAATTAGGAACAATCAGAATTAAGCCTCAGCCCTTGACCTAGTTGCTAACTGGTCTGTGAAATAAGCTGCCTCTTTCTAACAGCACTGCTCCCTTGATTACACAAAACCAGTTCTACCTACAAACCAGGTACATATACTAAAGAAAGACCTAGTTAGCTTATGTTTTAGACCTTTTTCATTCAATCTATAAAATTAATATATGATGATTATAAAATTCAAAACCTGTTGAAGTATCTAAAAATTTAATGTTGATAATTTGCAATCACAATATAAGTTGGTCACAGGGATGGTAGTACAGCAATGATACTTTAAAAAATAATAAATAAGTAAATAAAATTTAATATTAATCCCATCACCCAGACCTTTGCCAATAACATAGGCAAAAAAGACTGGTGTTAAGTTTCATTTCTTTGCTTTCTTGTGATGCTTATCATTTTTCGACATTAATAACCATTTTAATTTCACTTTTGTGTTGTCTACTTATATTCTTTACCCTTAAAAGGTAGTTTATAAATGTTCTATTTCCTGGCTTTTCCTAATCCACATTTATCTATTAAACTTAATCACACTGCAAGCCTTCTCTTTTACCTTTATTTCTTTGATCCATGCAGAAAAGTAGGCTTAAAATATTCTTGCAATAATGTTTCTAGTCAGAGAAAGACTGTAAAGAAAAATATCTCTGATTTTCAGCTGAGGATGATGCAATAGTATTTTTTTTAATGCTACATCTCATTAGAGACTGAGTCCCCAAAGTGAGTGACAATATCTGCCATGATAACTGTTATTTTGCTTCTACAGAGCTGGCCTTCAGTGTTTTTTACCGTATTTATAGTAAGTACCCTAAGAATTTTTTCTTAATGAGCTGAAGATTTTTTATTAAGTGAAGAAAAGTCTGGCATTAACTCATATTTATATAATTCTCCCAAGCTTCTTGTCTGAAAAATTCTACCTTATCATGAAGGAAAATCATCTATTCTTGTTCCAATAATATATCTTTATCTGGTAATAAAAAAAGAAACTGAAGCTGATGCTTTCCTGCTAAATGTAAATCTATATCCTATGGTTGCTTTCCTTGTATATACCTATATTTCTGACTTGTGTTCTCTTATTTAAGCAATTTTTGTGAGAAGAGTGAAACCCGGTGGCTCTGATCATGGAATACTAGTTTCTTTGGCAATGCCTGCCACAGAAGGGTGTGCACTGCAAACTACCTCTGAATAGAACCACCTAGAATCTACCATAAAGTGCAGCCCTCTGGGAGATACAGCACTCACCAGGTAAGCAAATAAGCCATCAGGCTAGAAAGAAAATGAACCAAGCAAGGTACGATTACCAACTGTGCTAGTGTTACAAGAGAAGACTTACTCCAGCCTCCCCCATGGTTCCTCATTAGGACTCACCCAAAACTTGGAGGCCATCCTCTCTATCCTCATTCACACCAACTTTCCTATGGAGAGATTTTAAAAGAAACTGAGCGGTCAAGGCTTGCACAGAGCAGGTACTGCTCCCCTGCTCTACTCCAGTTCCCGTGTGCGAAGTTGAGCAGAGGCAGGGCTTAGGCCTTGCCTGAGACAGTTGAAAGTCTGAGCCTTCAGTTCAAACCCTGCAGCTCATGCAGTTTGGTCTCACAGTGAGCCAAGCAGGCTTCTGCTTTGCAGACTGCCTTAGTCAGGCATTGTTATGGGTTGAGCTGTGTCCTCCCACAAAAGACATGATGAATCCTAACCC